TTTTTTGTCTTTTTTTTTTCCTTTTTTTTTTTTTTTTTTTTTGAAGAAGGGGGGGCTCTCTTTCTTCCTTCCCCCTCTATTGCATAGTTCATTTTACTTTTAAACTTCTTGCTTCCTGCCACTCTCTCATAATACATGTCTTGCTCGGTTTATATTCGGTCATTTGATTAAAGTACCTACCTACCACTCTGAACTCCAAGCTAAAGGAGTCAATTGGGACTCCGATAGTCTAATGTAGATGTGTACCCATTTGCGTTTACATATGCGTTGACATATTCCTAATGAAGGACACCCACGACTCACATATAAGGTACACTTATGCAGAAGGTCTGAAGCTCTAGCTTCTACCAGACTCACTCTTTAATTACCAAACGCTTGCCCTTACGGTCAGGTTCCTGTTTCGCCAGCACATCCGCGAGTCATCGTCAGAACCCAAACTGGGCTCGAACGTTCGGGAGAGTTTGACCGCCAGTGGTCTTCCATTCAAGTATAGTTCAGGACCCGAGGAGTGGAACCCTCGAGTAAGTGATAATCGTCGTCGTTAATATTAATATTATTGATTTATTTATTTAATATTTCTCTTTTTTTAATTTATTTCCCTTTTGAGAAAAAAAAATATATCCTTCTTAGTATTAATTTCAGTAGTATTGTGATTAGGTAGGAAGCAACGGCTGGTCATGACTCTCTAGGCTCTTTACATTTCGCAGTACAGTAGAATTCCCTTGGTAGTTTCATTAACTTCGTAAGAATTGAACCGGAGGAGTACTAGTATTAAAGAGCACAATGGATTAGGTAGATACTAGATAGACGTTAAGCTGCAACCCGGGACGGAAAAGTCATAATTAAAATCACCTTGAAGTGTGGTACTTCGTAAAATTAAATACTATTAATATTAACGGCTTCTCCAACCCACTGGTCCGTCAAAAATCGCCTCTTGTTAGCCTCCCCATGCCCTATTTACCTATCAGGTACTTTACTTACCTTGACCTGGGCCTTACTTTTTAGTAGTACCTGTGTAGGAGTATTACTGCTAAACTTCTTATTTGCTATTCGGCGATGTTAGATCACCTGTCAATGCAGGCGATCTGTTTTTGCATCTCAAACTGTTTCATCTCTCGTCGGCTTTCCTTTTCCCTTTTCCCTACCCTGCTTTCTTTGCTTTTTCTTTTCTTCCTTTTCCCAACGTCTCTCCATCGCCGTTGACTATTCCTAGTTCTAGTCCCTTGTTCATCCCTGTCGCTGACATCTGTCTGGACTCAATATCAAATTTAACCTTCTCTCCTCGTTTAATGAGTCTCATCTTTCTATTACTCGTGGTGCTTTAACATACCATTATCTCACCGGCTGTATCGACTTTCCTAACTATCATTGAGAGTGTTTATTCATTATTCCTGTCCTTCAGCTATACACAATTTTTTTTTTTTTTGCTTTGTTATTTTTCTATTTATCTATTTGTTTTTGGAGCTGGGGAGCTCTAAGAAATTGATAGTTGAACCTACAAGACGCCCTGCGCTCTGGTAGTGCCATTTACTTTCTCAGCTGAGGTACTGTGTTGGAACGCGCCGCACTTGATTGGCACCTTTAAAAGTCGGACGGGAAAGAGTTCATCGGACAAGGCCCTGCTTTTTCATCCTTGATATTGGGTCAAATTTTCACTTGTGGTTACCTCCCAATTATTGTTTCAGTTTCGTCGAGGAGGATTCTAGTCGCAAGTGATCGTTGGAACCCAGCACTTAAAACGCCAGTGCACCTGGTTACCGGATGCTCTTATCCGTCTAGACTTCTAAGATACTCGAAAAGAACGAAAAAGCTTTCCCGTTGCGAATCGCGCATATGATTGCGTTACAAAACCAAGCTATCTTGCCTCCCGCCAAAGTGGATATCTCATTGCTGTTGAAGCCCCAAGATGAGGAGGCCGCCGCACCGGTGACCACTACGTCCACCTTTCCACCAAATCCAATCCCTCCGGCTCCAATGGCTCCGGCAATTCCTGTTATTGCCTCAGCATCGGGCCCTTCTATACCTCTCACCAAAGGCCCCTCATCGCTTCCGGCTAAGCGTCTTCAACCGGCTCATACAGCAGAATCACCGGCGAAAAAACAGTCAAAGTGGTCTCCCGAAGAAGATGCTTTGATCATTGAATTACGTGGTAGTGGCATGAAATGGGAGGATATTAGCAAACGACTTCCTGGACGAAGTGCTATTAGTTGCCGCCTCCACTATCAGAACTATTTAGAGCGCCGAAGTGAGTGGGACGAAGACAAGAAGAATAAACTCGCAAGATTGTATGAAAGGTATGTTGTACAGAGTCAATAATTGAAAAGTGATGACTGGGAGTTTGTTGCTAACTTTCACTGCAGATTCAAAGCAGAGATGTGGTCTAAGGTAGCGGAAGAGATGGCAATCCCATGGCGAGCTGCAGAAGCCATGCATTGGCAGCTAGGAGAGCAAGAAATGGCGCGTCGAGCCGGCGTAGTGCCCTTTTCGTTATCGAGTTCAGCCATAGACCCACCAACACCTAGGACAAGAAGAACCAGCACGTCTTTATCTCGACCAAGAAAAGGATCGGCATCACGCTCAATTCCCCCACCACAGCTACCCTCCGTTGAAGAGCTTACTGCAGGAGTTCCAGCATTTGCTCCGCCTCCACCTTTTCCTCCTCCAAGGGAGGTCTATCGAATAGGCCGTCCAATGGATTTAAGCGGCACTCACAGTGGTCATATGGGCCCCAATCTTGGCATTCCCCCTCGTACCCTTCCATAGGGTCAAAAAGAACCAACTCTTTATTGCGTTTTACCTATGCCTATTATTTCTTTCTTTACCCCCACATTTCTTGCTGCATTTCGATTCTGCTGCGTTATAATGACTTGCATAGCGTTGGCTGAATATCTACCTTCGTCCATAGGATGGATTTTCTCGACTGGCTCGGTTGATATGTGCCTTCTTTTGCCCAGAATTTCAAGGAAGGCCCGTGCCTGACGACATTTCCTTCTTGTTTCATCTCTCTTTTGTTATAAATAGATGCCATGAAAGATCTCCGGAGCTGGATCTCGGAGCACGCGTTATTCCCATGTGTTACGGTGTTTTTCTCATTGGTCTCATCGTGCTGCGATTGCCCACCAATTGTCTTTTTCATAGCCAGATTCCAGTACACGACCACCCGCATTGGTTATGTCACGCTCTAACTCATTGGCCCCATAAAGGTGGTAATATCGATGGAAAACTTTTGGTTGCTCAGTTGGACCGTCTTTGGGGAAGTTGCTTGTCATTACCCATGGAACCATAATGTCCTGCTCGTCACCTTTATCCCAGCCCCTGCGGCTGGTCTTCTGCTCAAGTGCCCATACATATAGTAGGACTTTCCCTCCGGGAGCCTCTGCCGTGGCGGGCTTCAAAGTGCGCAGAATCTCACGGATAGCTTGAATCCTTCGAGCCGGGGTTGACAAGTGGTGTATCACAGCTATCGATATTGCAAAGTCGAAGAAGGAATCCGGGTGTGGCAAGTTCAGGATATCCGCCACAATGGCCGAGTGTGGTTGGTGATTCGCGGCAATTCGGGCAAGGTTCTCGGATCTGGCATCCTTTAGTCAATCACGGGACATGTGAAATGGTTTATTCAAGAATCCATGAATGAAAGTGAGACATTGGTTATTTCCAACTGTGAATTAGTAAGGCAAAAAAAAAATAAAATAAAATAAAAAATAAAATAAAATAAAAAATAAAAAAAATAAAAAAAAAAAAAAAAAAAAAAAAAAAAAAAAAAAAAAAAAAATAAAAAAAAAAATAAAATAAAATAAAAAATAAAAAAAAATAAGACAAAGATAAAGATAAGAAATGATAACTAAACAGATTGATAAAAATTACGCAAAGTATAATAAGTATACAAAGAAAGGAAGGCAAAAAAAATTAAACCATATATAGATAAATGAAATTACTCACCTGTCTGAAGCAACAATAAAGACATTCTGGTTTACAGGTAGACATTTTCCATTGCCACATCCCACATCTAGTCCGATAGCTCCGGGTGTTAATTCTGTAAGGAACCGTTTCACAATTGGCCACGCCTGATACATACGTCAGCACACATGCCTTGCAAGAGCAGTAGAGTGCTAAAATATGCGGTATATATACCTTGTAGCGAGTGGAGGAAAAATGACTTGCGATTTGTTGGTACACCTCATGGACATGCTTTTCTTCGTAGGCTTCCTCCTGGGGCTTTTCAGTTACGAAAGACTGTTGGTCTGATGACGATGATGCCATTTCTGCTGTATTGCCTTGTGATCTTACGCCTGGTCACTTTTTGATAGAGCTATGGTGTTGGGTACAGCGTAATCGGCAAAAGGTCTGGAGCGTGTGAGGAGAAGGAGGAGAAATCTAAGAGGCGTCAATCAGAATTGAAATCACCAAGAGAAATGGTACAATACCATACACCGTACGTAATTAGATTGTTTCGAGGCATGTAGTGAAATCGGTGCAAAGATTAAGGTTAGCGCATTCTTAGGTGGCTCGGAGAATATCTGAATCAGCAGATCGTACTTCTCATTTACTATTTACTTTCTTTTCGTTTTGTGTACTTATTGGTCTTCCCCGCCCCGGCATTACTATACTGTATTCCCTCCAATGTTAGCTCCATCTGCGCTGTAGCATCCAGCCGGAGGAACTACCTGACTAAGGAGGGCCGTATCTTACCTCGACCCAGACACCCATGACATGGATCAAGTAGTGTAGGTTTGAGCCAGTGCTGAGGCATACCTAAGATACCCACTACAATTTGAAACCCATGTTAGAGTAATGGTTAGTATTTATCTAAGTAAGAACTGAGATGAAATACCCAAGAGCGATGTTGCATACGGTCGGTTGGTTACTCCGTGGTTAGCAGGAAGAGGATTGACTAATAAAAACCATGTGCCTCTGGGACACCCCTCCTGGGTCTTATCGCATGGGTACTTATCAAAGAAATCTATCACTTGCACGTGATATGTTACCTGACGATCTCCCACGTCAAAAAAAAAAATAAAAATAAAAATATAAAGCAACTCATTTGCACTTCTAGAACTGCTGCTTATCGACTGAAGGGCACACATTCCAAGTGACTATGTCATTCCAACCGACTCCGTCGGATGTTTCTGTCCTCATTACCACGCCTACAGCAAGTGCCAATTCTGAGCCACACTTCGTCACGGAGCGTCGAATAACTCCAACATGGACCGTTATTCAATTAAAGTCAAAGTTGGAAACGATGACAGGGATACCTCCTGGTAGTCAGAGCTTAAAATTGAAGACACCAGGGTGCGCTGACCGATGGTTTGACGGTGATGAGAACATGATCGGTGATTGGGGGTTGAGAAAGGGCTGTGAGATCGAGGTACGATGTCTGAGGTAATTTGAGATCTATATGAGACTTTGCTAAAGTCAGACATCGAACCAGGTTCATGATTCCCGCCCCCCTTCAGCACGGCCGAACTTTCATGATCTATCCTCTGTTGAAAAATACGTTCTTCCTGCGACCACCTATGAATCCCTACCAAATTCAGTATTGGCATGGAAAAAGCACCAGAAACTTGGTCGGTTTGACCCAAATGTACTATCGCCGTACGAATCGGCTCGCAAGCAAGCAGAACAAGACGCCGAGGATATCAGGAGTCGAGGTAAGAAGCATAAATAGAAAAACAGTCAAAGGGAGAATGAGAAAAAACAAAAAGAAAGAAACAACGTTTAACTATCAGAGTGCCGCTTTTTATAGGTATCGCGGTTTCCAAACGTGCGATTATTCACCCGTCCTCTCCGCCACATATCCGACGAGGAATTATCCGCTTTGTTGGACCGGTGCCATCCATCCCCTATCCTGGGATAGAAACTAGAGATGCCGACTCTAGTGCTTGGCCTATCTGGGTAGGAATCGAGCTCGATGAGCCAACTGGTAAGAACGATGGCAGCGTGGGCGGAAAGCGCTATTTTACTTGCCCTAACAAGGCCGGTATCTTTGTGAAACCCGAAAAGGTTGAGGTAGGAGAATTCCCGCCTTTGGGACTAGACGATTTAGAGGACGAGACGATGGAGGAAATATAGTCTCGACCATTAAAATAATCGAGACTAGGAGGCTTTTGGGGATTAAATCGTATTCATATAATATCATTCAAAACACGCCAGCGAAACCTCACAGACAGAGTCTGTGCTCGCATATATTGCTATTAGGGATTGAGAGATGACAGAAGGAATAAAATGAGGAACATGAGAAACACCGACAGCCCAGTATTCATTCAAGAGGATCGCTAAGCCCAACAAGATCGACGCCTATGAAAGACGCAACAATGAGAAACACAGATGAGAAAAGAAAAAGCCAATGCTACATTCACATGAAGTTGGGAGAAATGAAGAAGATAGGCAAGGGGGCGTTGCTATCGTAAGAATAGAGCCCATCAAGACCTTGGAGCCTGTTCAAAGACAGTCACTATGATGCTTTAGAGCCACCTGCCTTCTGCTTCCCCTTGGGCCTACCTTTCCCGACACTAAGAGGACGTTCAACTTGAGGGGTTGGTTCTTCTTCCATAGTGTCATTTTTGGAGGCAGACCCAGGGGCAGAATTGTTACCCTCCACAGGGACACAACCTTGCGTGAAGAACAGCCGGGCGTCCTTCCCATGTGTGTTTGCGAAGCTGTAATAATTGCCTGAAAGCAAAGCACAGATGGTCAGACATCTCTGAAAAGGGTAAACTGGGAAGATTTTGCCAAGCTCAACGTACCTCTTGGCACTTGGAATACGCAGCCTTTTCCAGCGCTAAATTGTACACCGGAGATGTCTACTTGTACTCGGCCGCGGCATACATAGAAGACCATGTGCATCTTCTTTGAGTTTTTTGGCTTTTTCACTCCGCCGCTTGGCAGCTCAACAATCCCGGAACCTAAGAAAGGAGAGCTAAGTAGTTTGGCAAACCGAAAACTTGAACCTTTGACATCCCTCGTCTCTATACCGGAAGGCGCGTATGCAATGTCTACACATCAAAAGATCAGCACAGAGGCTTAAGAAAAATAAAAAGAAAAAAGTAAAGAGAAGGTGGAGGGCCGGGTAGTCTACTCACCGAGGACCTCTTCCTCGTCTATCCCAGCCTGGGCGTCGGGATCCCACTTCCTAATGTAACCATGCAAAATCCCTTCTTTCTCCCAAGGGTCAATATAATCCTCATCATCTTCTGAGTCATTTTCCATCCTATGTTTTCCCGACTTCGACCTCTTCGAAGGTCTGCCCTTCTTGGGTTTCCGTTTTTCCGGTTCGAGTTCTTCCGTACGTATGATCTCCTTAATAGTAGAGAGAGGGTAGCGCTCTCCCTCGGCAGCCTCGCCATCACCGTAGACACAGCGTTCGTTCTTCCAATATGCAAGAGGTCGTACAGATACTCGCCCTGACCGAGTGTGTGTAGTGCTGCTATCCGTTGGAGCCTCTCGTTTGAGAATATATAAGCTTCGCCCCTTCAAAGGCCCCGTGCGTTTGACGTGATCCTCAACAACCCTATCCAAATCGGGGTGGCCTGATGTATTTGGTTCTCTAGTCTCTTTTATGGAGGCCTTGGTCTTCTTTGACAGCCTCTGTTCCTCCGTATCGTGACTGATGCTGCGCTGGCTTTTCGCGGGCCTTCCGGGACGTTTACGTTTCTGCGAGGTCTCATGCTCCTGTGGTTCATTCGACTCTGCAGGGATGTGAGTCCGACTTGATCCACTTCGAACTTTCTTTTTGGGTTGATGGCCGATATTTATCTGACCTTCCTTCTGCAGGCCGACAGCCATTATTGACGGAGATTGCGTTGCTGTGCTGTTCTCATCTGGTTCCTCCATTTCATCTCCTAGAATTGTGTCGTTGCCAGCATCGAAGCTATCAGCGAAATCATCCCGTGTATGTTCGAGACTGTTCGCATTTTCATCCGCGTTCGATTGGCTATTCGCATCGCTGTCCGAAAATGAAGATATTACTTCCTGTGTCTTTTTGTTTGCCTTACTGCGGGCACTGCTCAAATGATTCAAGGGAGGCGCATTTATAGAACGGTGAGTCAGAGGAGAAACATCATGTCGTAAGTCCCCTTTCGTATGACTTAAGCCTTTGCCATCGGAAGGACTAGAGGAGAGGAGATCCCGTTGTGGGCTTTGGGATGATCGTAAACCGGGCGTTCTCCGAGGGGACCCAGTCAAGCCAGCCTTCATAGGAGAACGTGCAACAGGTGGTGGGAAATAAGAGTTTCGCCCGCCATTCATACCGCTGAGAAAATCGGCAGGACCAGGGGCGTTTCCTGCTCATCCGCGTTGAGAAATTAATATCATGGCCCGTACATTGAAGAGCGTTTGCACGTACCCTCGTCCATAGACATGCCATCGGAGCCTACCGAAGATTCATTCCCATTGCCAAAGCCATTTTCTCTTGCGGGAGACTTCTCTGGCGATGACCACATCTCATCAATGTCCTCCATCCCATGTTCATCGCGCTTGCCCTCCTTCACTGAAATTCCTGTCCGACTGTATCCATTCTCTTCGTTAGTCCGCTCTGCAGCAGAAAGAGAACGTTGAAATGGGATGTTCGACAGAGAACGCTCACCGTCCAAGTTTACCGACATTGGAATAATCATAATCGCGAGCTTTCGCGGGCCCCCGAGGAGCCATCCTAGTGGAGTTCCGGGAGTGAAATGCGGGAAGATTAGCTGTATGGAAAAGTTACGATTAGGACGCACGCGCACGCGCGCACACAGTATCCTAAGCTACTTTAGCTAAAAAATATTTTGGATCAGGTACCGTAAAAAGAAAGGCAAAGAAAGAAAAGGAAATCCCCATGAGCAACAAGGGTAACTTTTAATTGGGAGGAGACGGAAAGCTAGTGAAGCGCTGTGGAGGGGAGTTGGGAATTCAAGATAGGCGGCGACACGCGCGGAAGCGCCGCTAGTCCGGAATGGTTTGGGACGCGTCTAGAGCACAACCTTCTTAGCTGACAAGAAGTTGTGTCCTTCACTTCCATAGAAATGCTTTCATCTTTGTTTATAGTTCTTTATCCCTAGCCAGCAGTATTTATCATGAAACAAGCTAGTATGGAAGAACCAACTCAGCCTCCCTCGTTCAACTCTCAAGGGACGCTCACTTCTGCGGGCCTTTTTATCCCTCCCAATATAAACCGCCCACGGTTGTATGTGGGAGATTCTTATTCCTACCATTCGCCATGCCCTGCCACAATCGCAACCCGCCAACCGAGTTCACATCCTTTTAAAGCTGACGAGATGGCCATAGATGATTCCACACCGACTGAAAGCTACCCGGAGAGCTATTTTGTTTTGGGTGTTGATGAGGCAGGTCGTGGGCCGGTTTTGGGTCCTATGGTATACAGTGCTTTCTATTTGCCGCATGACCTTCACCACTCCCTCCTTGCACGCGATTACAGCTTCAATGACAGCAAAGTTCTAACACCTGGTGTACGCGCCAATTTAATGCGTCTGCTCTGCACCCCGGGGACTCCCCTGTTCGAGTCATGTGGATGGGCAACTAGACTTTTATCCGCAAGAGATATTTCATCAGGCATGATGCGCCCTGGCGCGGGGATGTATAACTTGAATGCACAAGCAATGGACGCTACTGTGGAACTCATTCGAGAGATTGTGGAGGGCCGCAAAGTTGACATTAGAGAGGTGTATATCGACACAATTGGAAACCCGGCCACCTATCAGCAGAAGCTGGAGCGGGTTTTTCCGTCACTAAAAATTACAGTGGCTAAAAAGGCCGACTCTTTGTACCCTTGTGTTAGTGCTGCAAGTGTTGTTGCGAAAGTGACCCGAGATGTAGCCTTGGAACTCTGCCATGAAGGTATAGTGGAGGCCCAACAATCCGATGACCCTTCACAGGCAACTTCTACTGTCAGTTGGGGCAGCGGTTATCCCTCCGATTCGAAGTGCGTAAGCTGGCTCCGAAGGAATATGGATCCCATATTTGGGTGGGGTAATGAATGCCGGTTCAGCTGGGGCACTTCGAAAGAAATGCTTGAGATGAAGGGGGGGATGAAGGTGGACTGGCCGGTTGATGAAGAAAACACACAACTTCGAGATTTCCTTTTGACGTCTTCTGAAGTTCCTAAGGGAGCCAATCAAGAGTTGCGAGATTGGTTTGGGCAGAAGACAGCAGAGGTCTTTTAAGCAGAAATAGCACCCAATATGAAATTGCGATAGCGACGTGTGATACCCTAGAATGTATAAATATAAGACGCTAAATGTGCAACAAGATCACAAAAGTATCAAATAATATTAGAAAACGCCAAAGAATATAAAGGAAGTGGGGAAGACAGATAAAGAGAATATGTCATCAATGAACGGAGAGAGACAAGAATGCTAGGATCCATTGGGTATCAAATCAATTTCACTCCTTTCAATATCCTAGTTCGAGGAGTCGACGGGGATATTGGCGTAGATTTAGTTCGATGAAGGCAGCAAGATGAGATACTTCAGCTCATAAAGTCGCTGTTGAAAAGTAGTAATTGTCCCACAGGTATTCATAATCTTCGACAACACTGCCTACCAAGTCAAGCAGTGGCTTCCCTTTCATCTTCCTAGTTAACCCTTTCAACCAGGGCCTGGTTAGTGTTAGCAAAACAGTGGCATTGATTAGTGGTAGTATTAAGTGCTCATACTTGGTCAAGTTTTCATAGAGAGCGCCTCTCATGAACCACCATCCCATAGCCCATCCTCTCTTTCTCAATTCCTCGCGCTCCAGACCTGTCAGTCCACGAAGGCCACCAGCAAGTCTCTCCCGGAAATCGGTTTTGGCAAGTTGTCGACAGCCATACTCCATGCCAAATCCAATGAGCCAAGGCCTCCAACTTCGTTTATTGCCATTCCATCTTTGCATCGCTAGTGCATAGGCTACTGGCCGCAAAATGTACAATACTTCTGCCAGCTGTCCTTGACCAGTGACTCGGTGCAAAAGAGCCTTGGGGGGCTTGATATCATCAGCAGTAAGTACTTTCGATATTAAAAAATTTGAGACGTCGTTCACATCCGGAAGGCAAGGAAGCGATAGTCCCGTACGAGGCATGGCCCAGCTCAGGTCCGAAGACCGCTCGCTTAATGGTGTTTGCATCCCGCTCCAATCGTCTTCTTCCTCTTCCGCAGATCTTGGGTCGACATCGCGCTCTGGTAATGGAGGGCTGACTAGCGGCCTTGAGTTTGTGAGACGTAGCAGAAACAAACGACATATTGCTTTGATACATTCGATGAGGATAACAACTCGCCAGCGAACTTTTTCACCTCGACGCCGCGCGATCATTTCCCAAAGTAATTCTGTGTACTGAACCATTTGAAGAGCGATGGCGACCTTATGGTAAAGCGAGGAGTGGGACGTCCAGTATTTTGTATAGCGGGAATGTGGAGTGGGTGCCGGTCGAGAGATGGTCGATGGAAGTCTAGAGATTACTCGAGAAACAAGGGAATCATGATACAGCGAAAGGAGCTGTACAGAAGAATGTACTGGATGAACAATGTTAGATATCTAGTTCGTCTTTGAAGCTGGTTGTATATATACCGCATTCTGACGAGATCTCCGAATCCCTGTATCGTCCTGTGTTGTTCGTAGGCATTAGTTTTTGTCATTCGTATATGTTTAAGTAGATTACCCTGAAACGAACCCGGGATTATGTATGTGAGAGACCTCAACGCCGACTCTACTTGACCTACAGAGCTAGCGTTCTTAGTCACGAAGTCCTCGTACAATGGTAACCATTTAGATGGTCTCAAAAGCGTCGAGGGGACTGATCCTCTGCAGTTCCGCGTTGGATCCATAATCAATGAAGAACGTATTTTGTGGAGTAAGCGAGCCCCTACTAGCCTCAGGAAGAAGGAGAACGTAACAACAAAGTATGGGGATGGAGTTGAGCAAATCAACAAGGGACAGGGATATGTTCAACACGTGCTCTCCGCATGCCAAGGAATATGTGCCGAGGTTCCGTTCGGACTATCTACTATTACTCTGTCCGCCTTTAGATGTAACTAACTATGGTTGGCTATTCAAAGCTCCAAGCCATTGATATTCTCTCGATGTTAGAGTTATACCCCTAATCTCAAGAACCATAGTAAAGATCAAATATCTACTTCCTCCATAGAAATCACCAGCCAGGTGCCTCGTTCCGGCCCTCGCCCATAGGCTCACTCATCCGCGTATTTCCAAAGGCCACCCGGGCGCATTGCTTCTCTATATCGTTCTTTTACTTTATCTCTCTCAAGCCTTCTTGCCTCCTCATGGTCAAATTCTAGTTCTTGTGTGTCAGGCATATCCGTGCGCCAAAACCCTGGCGGCGTAGCCGGACGTGGATGATGATGTCTATGCTTCCCAAAACAGTTGGCGATCAGCCTTGCTTTTGCCTCATCAAGGAGCTTCTGGCGGTCCTTTTCACCAAGTCCATCAAGCAAATGCTTATCTTCTCCCAAGTAGTCTTCTAGGATTTTCTGGTCATTTTCTTGACAAGAGACTGTAGAGTCAGTTCGTAGACCAGCAAGACGTGCCATGGTTAAGAATTTTTCTCCACAGCAATCAGGGCGCGTGCATCCCTTGGTGCACTTGCGTTCTTTTTTCTTGCGGATAACAGTGTTATATGCATGCTCGAGTCCTTCGTTATAGTCAGGGTTTATCCTGAAATGACTAAGCTCGAGCCGGTGCAGTGGCAGAGCTCGGTAAGGTTCATCCTCTAGATGCATTTTAATTGAATTAGATTTAGCTCGGTCGGAAATTAGGGCATTGGTTGATAGTTGTTGTTCAGTCGGCCGTTCGTTGGCTTGCGAAGAATCCAATACTACCGTTATATCAGTAGGTAAAGGTGTATTATACTCGGATGCTTCGTGATCAGCATGAAATTCGTGCTGTTTGTGCCTTTTGGTATCGTTCGCGTTACCATTGTCCTTCGGTGAATGCAACAGTGGCCTAGGAGGCAGCGGTTTCTCCAATAAATCCTGCAAACGGTGTGAGCCACCTTTAGAACTTAAAGCTGCTGATAGGTAGCAAAAATCGGTGTTCAGCGTTGTCCTTCCTGCAAGTGCTGTGGGGTACATTTGTTCACCATCCTCAGCTACGCACGATATAGCATGGTTAGACGCCCTCGGGATTATTACTGGCTTTTTTTCTGGCCATCGAGCAGAACTATGCATAATGCTAGCATTGTCATCCACCGATTGAAGTGCTGTGGGTCCATTAAGAAGCATGTGGCCTGATGCTAGGCGGTGATTATCCTGGGGCACTGGTTTTCGAGATGAGGGCAAATGAATAGTCGAAGGGTCTGTTTGAGATTTTCGATATGCATCGATGACCATCTCTTTGGTCTGTGTCTCGACAGTGCCGCCAACTTCATCCAAATCTTGGGTTTCAATTGTTTCGACGTGTTGGGAAATGTTTCGCACGGGACTAGAGAGCATACTTTCGCTTTTCATGGTAATGGGCGGTTTCGATTCCCTTTCCCTCAAGCCACTATAACGAGCTAGTGTCCCAGATGCGGGCAAAATCCCGCGTTTCCTCTTCAATCCCGGCTGACTCTGCCTCGCCGATATATCGATATCTTCGTTCTTGAAAGGAGGGCCGGACTGTGTCAAAAATAGTTCTGGAGATTCAGTCTGCAGGGGCTGTCCAAAGTTGTTCTCTGATCTTCTATATTCGTCGCAAATGACGGACGTACAAACTTCACCCAGCTCTGGCCTAGGTAAGCCCAGGAGCCCAGGAGCCCCGTCTGCTGCATTGTGACTAACCGGCTCTGATATGCCATTTGCAAGTATCGACTCTGCTGTTGGAAAGCCATCATGGCCTTCATTTGCGATGTTCTTCACACGTTGAAATTTGGCAGTGACACCATTCAGCACCAGTGTGAACTCATCCCGCTTGAGGCATTTGCTCCAGTGTTCCAGCTTTCTCTTATGCCGCTTGATCTGTTGTCTGAGACCCTTACACGCCTTTGCGAGTGTTTGTGCATCTCCATATAGTGCAGCATATTTCCCATTGACAATTCGCGTCTCTTTAGCACTATATTCCCACGACAAGAGATTGTGGTCATCACACAGACTCAAAACACGCTGCGGCGCATATGCTTCCTCCAATTGAGACTCGCTCACAGAGACTTCAGCACCATCTAGGCTAATGTCATTACGGCTTATTTCTTCTCGTAAATGGGTAACCTCAATATTCAGCCTCTCAATCTCGGCCACGGCTTTACTTCGGGCATCCTCCGTAACCCTGAGTTTCTCTTCTGCCGCGGCGACTTTTCTGTCACGAATGGTAAGCACAGCGGTCAAATCGCTGTATGCATCATCGAAAGATTTCTCGAAGCTCTGAGCCACAGAGGCATGAAGTTGCTTTAGAATTTCCATGATAAATGAGAGTGGTCCCATGAAAGGTAATGGATATACATACTTTTAGGAGTCTCGGGGAACGCGGCAGTACTTATTCAAAGGACGTCATACCCGTGATCCTAGGCGGGTTCTGGGCTTGGCCTGTTTTTCTCAGTCTTGAAATTATCGTTTATCGCCCTTTAGATAAGCGTTCTTATCGGACACTCATCATACTCCGTGGTGTCCAAAACCATCTCCTTAATACACAGTTTCAAGGAGTCTTCATTCTTGTAACATTTCTTAAGTCCATACATATTTTTTGTGTTATTTTTATATAAAAAAGAAAGCTACTAGCAGCATGTCGAAAAGACGTGATGACGGTGATACCATGACTTATCCATCGCCAAAACGGCGGCGTATATCCCAAAATAGCGACTACCTCTCATTCTTAAGCGATGAAGTTTTATTGTGTATCCTATCTTACCTACCGATACCCGCTTTGCTAAAATGTCAGAGGTATGCTTACTTCAGGAGGGACTCAATCTGGCAGAAAGCTAACCTACTTCTTCCCCTTTAGAGTGTCCCGTCGCTTCCACACTTTAGCCGGAGACTCGGAGCTATGGAAGCGACAGTATTATTCTCGATGGGTACGACCTCGAGCACGTCGCTTAGCGAGAGTGAGACGTGCCACCCCTCAACTTTCGAGGCTTGAATACTCGCCTAAAGTATCTACGTGGCTTGACCACAGTCATCTGGCGAGAGAAGGCAGCAATACGAATTGGAAAAAACAATATCGCCTTAGACACAACTGGTCCAAGGGGATATGCCGTGTAACCGCAGTTGAGTTGCCTCAATCTCCAAAACCACCAATTTTGGTACAATTTTGTGCTGGGCTTGTGTTTGTAGCAGATTCCGCTCATGGGCTTAGAGTTTGGCACGCGGACAATACAAACTCTTGCTTAGCAAGTGTACCTTTCACAAACGTCACCACACAAGCACTTATAGTACCCACGTCATTAAAAGCAACTTACTGTTCACAGCAAAATATGGCCAGAATTGCTGTCGGATTTAAAAGCGGTTGTTTTAGGGTGTATAACATGGACATTAGAGCCTTACGATTGAAGTTGGGACTCACTTACACTAGTTCCACTGATCGGGCAATAACAGGGATGGCTCTATCATTCCCGTATATTCTAATAGTATCCCAATGCAGTGTGCTATCATTATTTGGTATTCAAACCGTCAATGAGAACTCGGGCCACAACCCCGTCGAATTGATGGAGAAGGCCTACCTTCTTGCAACACTCAAAGCCGAAAGCATGTTGGCCCCCATGTCATTGTCTGTGCGCGTTGCAGGCTCGGAAATCATAGCTTCTATAGCGTACAGCTTTTACCACATCGGTTGTGGCTGGTCCATAGGGATACAAGAACTACATTTCAACAGAGGCGGCCAGCAGATCAGCTCACGACTCACAACCACAGTGGATTGTCAATATGGTGTGATACCATTACGCCCCTCTAGCCGGGCACCAGACGATCAACAACCTTCACTGAGCAGTGACCTGTATGGGTGGCCTACTGGGCCATCAATTTTACATCGACAACCTCCAACTTCGATCTCCTATTCGCACCCATACCTCTTGACTTCTCACGCAGACAACACTTTGACTGTCTACCTTGTTGTTTCTACAACAACAAATCTTCATGTCAAAGGCGGTCAGAGACTCTGGGGCCACACCACGTCGGTTGCAGCCGTACAAGTCAGTGATCATGGTAAAGCAGTATCTGTTAGTTCCCGTGGTGATGAGATTCGAATATGGGAACTCGAGCCATTGATCTCTTATTTCGGAACGCAGAGGATATTAGATGAAAAAAGCATTCAAGTTAGCCCTGATAGCAAGCAATGTCGGAAGTATGAGAACTTCGGTGTATTATCAGGACTCTCTCGTTGCGAGGTCAATGAGGACCAATCCTCTTCTCCGAAAGGGTCATACGAATTGGACAGGATACGAGGCTGCATTGGATTCGATGATGAGCGTGTGCTTCTGCTTCGAGAACGGAATATCGGAAACCAACTACTAGAATTCTATGACTTCACATGAATCACTGGGTAGAGCTAAAAGAATAGGACGGTTTACACCATCCCAAACAGAAAGAATCAAAGAGAGATTTCCTCTAGTAAAACCAAACTTTTATAATACTCTGGAGTGATTGAAGCAGAGTGGTTGGCTCTGGTTTAATCAAAAGGTGTTCATCTGAGAACCTTGGGAGGGTGTATTATTTAACTGCATGAATTGCTCAGATTGAACTGGGACCCCTATCATATACTACTAGTAATGCCTCCACGGATATAGGGTAAAAAAACCTTCCTCTCTTGGACTACGTTTAAATATTTAGTAAACCACTCCGATGATTTGGGCTGGTACAGCTTTCCCAATGGCATCTCTGCAAAGCCTCCTCACTGCGAGAACGGCCTTCGCTCAGCCATTCTGTTTCTTTTAAAGACAATTGGACACCTTACTGGGAATGATAAATGTTAAATGGATTGCAACTCAAAAGATCGTTTCATAAATTCCTTGGTCTTGTCCCAAGTACGGCCGGACTTTTGAGATCCTCAGATGAAAAGCACCGGTTGCTTTCGGTGAAATACAACCCTCCGACCAAGCCTTGTTTACCATTCAGTTGTTTTCTTTTCTGCTGCTTTTCCTTTCCATTTGATTTGTGGGATAAACAAAAGAGGACGAGGGAGAGAGGGGTTGTAAAGGATAATAACAAAATCAAAAGGGTAAGGTTGAATGCAGAAGTTTCGTACCACAGAATTGCAGTCTAACTAAAAAGAAGAGCTCTGCAGGAACCGCACGTCAAGCGAATTTAATTTACTTGATTAAATAAATTAAATTCAATTTCTCGTCCCCGCGCACCGCCTTGGGCATATTATCTGCATTAAATTTCTCATCAATCAATCAATCAATCTCTACCGTTATTATTGTGGTCTCTTTCCTATTTCTTTTTTAAGAAAAAAAAATTCTGCTCATTCAATAATAGTTTCGCTACCATTCAATCTACCCAGAATATCTGCTAAATTCGATCAATATGAGTTTCCAAACTGGAGGTCGTGGATGTTTCAACTGTGAGTTTTTACTACTCTAGCGGCTTCGATTTCCTGGCGCTCGCTCCAATTTTGTTGTCTAGCTTTTGTGCCCTCACCTTGCGATTCACGCTGAAAGGTTTCCCTTCCTTCACATTGCCTGTCTTGCTTGATTTTGATTTCACTCAGTTAGCGCCTGTTTGATCTTTTCTCGCCCAAGAATTGTGGAACGGAAAATCGGTGCCACTCTCGTAGGTCACTAAGAAATTGAACTAACATCTTCTATACCACAGGTGGCGATGCTTCCCATCAGGTAATTTCTCCCCAGATCACTAGTGCAAAGGACATTGATTATGTATTCATCATACACTTTTCATCAAACCATAATCTCACGGACCTGGACTCATAGGCCCGTGACTGTCCCAAGAAGGGAACCCCAACTTGGTATTGTTTATTCCTCTTCACTCTAGTCATAGTTTACATTCACTAATGGAATAATCAAAGTTACAACTGTGGTGGTATGCTATACCCTGCTAGCTTATACTTTATTTGCACCTCATTAGCGGGTTTCACAATCCCAACACTCTTCCTCGTGGTAATATTCCTTGGGTCTTGTCTAACGGATTGAAAATCGATTGCAGGACAGGGACATGTTAGTAAGTGGATACCATGAAATATACTGCACAGTAATAAGCGCAACTTATCTGACGACCTCCCCGCTGCTAGGCCGCGAATGCACAGTAGCGCCTAAGGAGAAGTCCTGCTACCGTTGCAGCGGTGTTGGCCATATATCCCGTGAATGTCCTCAGGCAGCCTCGGGAGATGGCTACAGTGGTGCTACCGGTGGTCAGGAATGTTATAAGTGCGGCCGCGTGGGCCACATTGCAAGGAACTGTTCTCAGGGTGGGGGTGGATATGCTGGCCGTCAACAGACTTGCTACTCTTGCGGTGGCTTCGGTCACATGGCTCGTGACTGCACCCACGGTCAGAAGTGTTACAACTGTAAGCTTTCCCCTGCATTATGCAATATGTCACATCTACGCCAATGGGATGGACTTTCACATTCGAGTCTTCATTTTCGAATCCTTACGATTCTCTCCTTTCTCCGTTATCTATTATGCGAGTGTGCACTGACCCATCAAATATAGGTGGAGAAGTTGGACATGTCTCACGGGATTGCCCCACTGAAGCCAAGGGTGAACGGGTTTGCTATAACTGCAAGCAGCCAGGCCACGTTCAAGCTGCCTGTCCTAACTAGGTCAGAAACCAATTTGGGTTGTTCGTCTAATTTGTTGCGCCAGTATATACACGAGACGAGGCTTTAGAGGCTTTCTCATGGACTGAGCACGCGCTCTTCGAACCACTCGAACCCTCATATTTCTGCTTTCTCGTGTAGCCAGATCAAGGCTTGGCTCATAGCCTTGGTCTTGGTGGGTTTTGCCCGTCCCTACCATGAGCATGATATTCATGAGTACTCGCGTGCCAATACATTGTATCTGTGATATCTGCCTTCGATTTCCAAGACGTGGGCAGAAATTACGTCGGCAGTGATATGGCAAGTGGTCTAGGTTGCAGGACGACAAACGTGACAGGCTTCTTTTGTGTGTAATGCGGACGACAGCAAGTAAAATAAATCGATTCACTTGATGTCTCAACTACTGGGAGTATTCTTGACTTTCGGGGACTCCTCTAGGCCTTTTGCTCAATTGTAGGTTTCTCTAAAATTCGTATGTGGGTAGCGGGAGCACGACGATTCGGAGGCTGAAATCCTTGTCCGCCGCATTTGATGGCATGAGTCTGAATTCAAAGTGCATTTGCAGGTAATACGTTCTTTTCTACACTTTGGACGTCGTTATCGGAACATATGCAGATATACTACAGCTCACGGAACAGCGAAAATATAACTATTTGACCGTTGACTTATAAATGCTTAAGAGCTGCAGCTGCACATCATGGCCCGCTTGTATCGAGGAACATCCCCACAGAAGCGTTCCTCCTCTTCTTTGTTCCAGCCCCAATCCTCTTGGAAGGGGTTTAGGGCCATTTGCATCACACGGCCGAGGATCTCCCGATCTCCCCGACGTTCAACTCGATCGATAACTTCGTCGAGTATCCATCCGCGAGGCAAGAACTAGTGAATTGCCACCGTTAGAGAGGTAATCCGACTAAACTTGAGGGGCTACAAGACTCACTCACCTTTGGGTTCACTGTTTTCATAGCCTTCTGTCGCCCCACATCACTATGGGGCCCCCAATCCTCAAGAATCCTCAGTCTCCAGCGCCCGAGCCAATTTGCGATGCGCTCCTTTGCAGAATCTTCTGTGTACCCGACTCCGCCACATCCTTCATTGTGGAAAAATATTGATGCAGCTTCTTTCCGTTTTTCTTCGGTGTCGAGGGCGCTGAGCGGTACATGAGAAAGCCGCAGGAAAAAATGGTTGAAGTCCAACTCTAAAGCCTCCAATGTGTCAAGCATTTCTGAGAAGAGGTCCTGAAAATCTGACTCTTTCTGAGTCTTTAGTCCTAGTCTTCCACCCATTAGCCGCTTGTATTCATCCAAGAATACAGTCCTAAACTCTTCACTCGTCCTTTCAATAATTTGTTCTGCAAGTTTGACGATGGCTGGAGCAGAATTTTCGGTCACTCCTTCTTTCATAAAGCTCTCTTCATCGACTTTAGCTCCTGCCCCAATGAGCTCTCCTAAGGATTCTCCAAGTCTAACCAAGTTCCACCAAATGATGGTTGGCTGGTTTTTATACGAGTACCTTAACAGATGGTCGTCGTGGTTTGGTGTGTATTGAGGATCGAAGTTGTCCATGAAAGCGAACGGGCCGTAATCAAGCGACAAGCCATAGATTGATGTGTTGTCGGTGTTCAATACGCCATTCATGAAGCCATACGATTGCCACGCAGCCACAGTCTTCGCATTTCGTCGTGCAACCTCTCTATACAGCCTTGCAAACCGATTTTCTTCGACCCCTTCGTGTTTTTGAATCACGTCCCACGACACGCCTCTTGCTGGATTATTAACGGCATCAGTGGGCTGATCTTTACCTAGAGGTACTGCAGCTGGTAGAGCTTCCCAGCCGTGAAATACATCTTCGGCAACATATGTAGCTAGTCTTCTGATTAAATCTCTGTCACCGCGTGCGCGGAGAAGGTCGAATGTTCCTATTCTCAGCCAGGATTCGGCAAACCGGGCCACTATAGCTCCAGGTTCAATACGCTCGCGCAAGACCTTGGACTCGGGCAGTAGAGTGATTGACAAGGCTCTGGTAGTTGGCACACCAAGTGCAGAGAGCGCTATGCTCGTCGTTAGCTAGACCGGTAGTATTACGCGGCTGTTAGTTTGGTACCTTCCGACACAATATACTCGCGGATGCTAGATCGAAGCACTGATTTTCCGTCTGCAAAACGTGAGTATGGTGTCCTCCCAGCTCCTTTGAGCTGCAATTCATATCGAATGCACGTATTGGGGTTGGTGCTCTCGAATAAGCTGATAGCACGCTACTTGAGGTCAATCCAGGTCAGAGGTAAGGGCAGGAAACAAAGCTTACCCCATCCCCAAGCTGTCCAGCCCATGAGCCGCTGTATCCTGTCAACTTCCGCATCGTAGTATAGGTACAAAGACAACATACAATTGCCATCCTTCACATCGTTAACTAAACGCGGCCAGCGAGTGACTCTATTGAAAGGTTTACATTACCTCCATAACATTGCGCCCATGGGTAGATGCCTCCATTCTCCTCAGTCCAAAAAAAATGATTCCCAGATACTACCGCTTTAAACTGAGGTGTAAGCTCTTCTCCTGACGTTAATCCCAAGTCCGCCATTGCTTTGGGGCTGACATCTAAAAGTTCCATCTCATTAGCTGGCTCGGGGCGAACAAAGGTGTATAAGGCGCCTTTCACCAAGCGCGGACCGAGAGCTTCCCTCGGAGCTCTATGGGAGATCTTGGGAGTCTCGAAAGCAGGGTCTGGCGGCAGTTTGGCAGTGAAAATATTGGATTTTGGGAGGTCCTCCAACGAAACCCCCTTTGCAGGGCCCGAGAGTTGCGTAGACATCTGTCTCAATCGATTTCGGACAGTTCGTGTCTGGTGCAGAGTATTGCAAAAAGACATACAATGACGATGGCGGCTTAGGAAGAGACGTGGCGTAGCAAGAACCATGAGGACCTCTCACAAGGCAATGGATGAGACGGTGTGAAGAGGGAGAGAAGCCGCCGAGCGTAATGCTAGGTTGTAATGACAGCAGAGAATAATTCGCTCTTCTGTACGGAGTATGATTGCGGAGAAGACGGGTATCGGAATAGTATAGACAGTACTCGTAAGCTAAAAGCGGAGGGGTGACATCATTTGCGTTCCGTGACTAGGCTGAAGTTTCCCCCAATGCACAGTAGGTCATAAATATGATCAAAACGTAACATAATTAGTGGGAGGCGATGAGTATATATGATTATGATCGGCAACGACACGGGCCTTCAGGTAGGAATGAATATTTAATAGTGGCTACTATAGTCGACCTTACTAACTACACAGTCGTGTGTTACATAATTGTAGCATTACTAACTAACTAACTAGTTAACTACTAACAGTACATATATAGCAACCCTACAGATGCCAAAAATCCACAAGGTAAATGACTATGAAACTGACTAGCTATGAATAATAATAATTTGGCTCCTTTTACAGTGCTGGCGCCACTCAAGGATGGGAGAGCCTTCTTTTTCTTCCATTTTCTGTAATTGCAACGCGTTTACTACCTAGTACCTAATATGAGTATTGGCTATCACACCATCGGACTTATTACTAACAATGGAGGTCTTGTTCTTCTTTTGGAAATTGTCCAGGGCACTGTTTCCTGGCTTCCTAGCTCAATGATTGAAGGGATCTCCCTATTACCCATAGCTGGGTTATGGCATAGGCACTCCATGGTGGAGCCCGCTTATCAACTGTGAACTTGATGCAATGAAGTATGCCGTCAAACCTAAATACTGTCATGTTTATGGAGCTGGGATATATGCTACAGAGCCAGAAATATAGCCTTGTTATCACGAGAAATGGTATAGAACAAGAGAATCTGTTCGCGCTGACCAATGCCATAATCCATACCGCACATGTCCAAAGTGTGACCAAAGCAAGTCTGGAAAAGCTCCAGATGAACTGTTAACAGTCTTTAGATTTCCACATTTTCATCTTTTTTTTTTTGACAGGTGCCTCTTGCAGTTGCCTTCCTTGGCTAGAACTAACAATGGCCCACAGGGGCTATCAAGGAAAAGGTCAAAGCCGCAGGGAAGACGCGTTCGATAGGAGTGTCTACTTACAGAGTTACGAAGACATTTAGAAAACCTCTAGAAATTATACCTTCCAACTTGACTAAATCAACTATTATCTGTACATACAACATGGCAAACTTTTCCCCTCTCATGAACGCAGGGAATATAAACAGTGAGTTATGGGCCATTAACCTCCATCACTCAGGAAATTATCCACTCGATGATTTTGGGTATTGTCCAGCTTGGCTAAGAAGAAGAGTATGCTCCAAAGATCGTGGCAGTGTCTGCAAAACTACAAGGAGCGAAGAGCTCTGTCTCACCACTTATCCGCGTGCTCTGATCTCCCAATCAAGGCTGGGAGGTAGGCGGTATACCTACATCTGGCGAACAGGAGATCCTAAAAGTTTTCTCGAATGGCAAATCCCCCGTTGATGGTTGGCCATAACCTAGCCGACGGCATTTGAACTCCGTAAACCAGCCACTAGCAACGTTTTGTGCTGCGTGCAACCTGTACTCTATTTATTTAGCGAGCAGGAAGACAAGGGAAGAAAGTAGCTCGGGTGCCTTTTCTCGTTAGTTTCCCATTACCACCCCCCTTCCAAGATTCAAATACAAAAGTGGACACAAAAGGCATTGGCTGGGTAAGAAACCCAATATATAGCTTTGTATAGTTACAGGGAGCACACTATGAATTTAAACACATAGGAAGTAAGGGTCCCTGTTCGTATCCAGGTCAGGCACACTTTCAAGTCTTGAGTACATACTAAACAGCAGATAGAAGAAGGAAGGTTTTGATAGTGTGCTTACTGCCAAGCGTCTCCGCTCCGGCTGCAGTCCAAATAGTTTACCTTCCCTAACAATTACAATTATCTTAATGAGGAAGTGTTTCTCTATATTTCTGCCCACCTTTGTCGTCGCCCATCCCCCTTTTCTTAAGTGCCATCTTCCCCTCCTCTTTTTTGCCTCTACTACTTCGCCCCATTTATTTTAGCTCATTTGGGTGCCACGCATAGTCTTCATCCAGCGAACGGAAGGCCCTCCGTCCATATGGCCTCGTTCTGGCATCGGTCGTCTGTCAATCGTCAGTTCTCTTTCTCGTGAAGACCAAAAGCTCAACAACCGCCCGTCTCCAGCTGGAAAGGTTCCGCTCATTGGCTACATTTATAGAACAAAAAGTGATATTGGCCAGCAGCCTTGGACTGTACGCTCTGAATAACACCCGTGCATGTTTCGTGTTATTGATTGGCTTCGGCGAACGTATGTTCAGTTGCCAGGATTTCCTTGAAAGACCCAAGCGGTGTGACACGGAGCTGGAAAGCAAGGTAAATTGAGCCGTTTCGATCTCATGTCTGTACGTATAAGGTTTCTTGACTACTGACCCAGTAGAGAAAGCACGGGTTTAGCTAACTGACAAGGCGATCGTTGTGATGCCCTTGCCTATTTTTTTCACGTCGGATTATCGTACAACGAAACCGCATGAGTCCCAGTGACTTGGACTCGAAAAAGACGGGAGTAACGAGATAGCACATTCAAACATCCGACTGCCATAATATCATTTTAAACGGTTGTCAATCATTCATACTCATCTAGTCAACGGAGTGCAATGTCGGTGAACCGGCCCTCTCGCGCCACGGACGATGATATAAGAACTACCAAGCTTCCCAGTGAACTGGCATATACATCGGAACAACATCCGATCGATCGGCGACTGAAACGCCTAAAGGAAGACGTTCTTCCTCTTTATCCTTTTCTCCTAACTGTGCCTACCGATGTGCCTTTCCGCCTTGGGAGTCGCTTCGTCAATAATTGGGCTGTGAGTAATGACGGTCCATTTGCACCAGAAGAGCATCAACTTCAGTATATGACCTTCTTAACACATCACGAAGGGGACTCGCTATTGGTTGCTGTTGGTGATTGGTCAGACGGGACTGGAAACGTCATGTCCGACCAGCAATCTGGACTCCAGGGTGCAGCAGGCACTCCATTGAGCGGGCCAGTCAAGAAAAAGATTAGTTTGAACGACTATAGAAACAAAAGAAAGACAGGTGCTTCACCCTCGCCCGTTGGCCAGGAAGCTTCTAGCCACCATCTCTCAATGGACTATGTAATTGATGACAGCCAAAGAGCTCCCAAAGTCGGCCCCGCTGGAAGCAATTTGCAGAAGTCCTCTGATAAAATTACGGCTTCGCGTACCTCTATTCGGGCTGGTTCTGAAGCTCTGGAACGCAAGCGGCCCGCTGAATCTGAAGCGGAGAACTCCAGGCTGCAGGAAAAGAAGGGTACCGAAATGGGAGTCTTGAAGAAACCGAAACTCTCCACCGAAGCAGCAGAAGCAGAGCTTAACAGGTCTGGGCGCTCAAAAGCTAATGGCCTCCCAACTCTCTTGTCACCTACCCTTCCGCCAACTTCAAGCAGCCCTAAACTTCCCAGGCTCTTATCACCCACCCTCCCTCCAAACATAGAGAAAGAGCTCGCTAGACTTGGTGAGGAGACGCTTGTCTCAGATCCTACGCGGACGAAAAACACTCCTAATGGTGATGCGTTGAGAACCAAGACTCAGAAAGCAAAGTCCTCTGATATCGGCACATCCAGCATAGATTCTACCTCTGTGATTGGCCGTCAGAGTTTGCGAAGCAAATACCCAAATTCAGTCGCTGATAAGCGTCCATCTACTACTCAAGGCTCTGTGGCTTCTTCCTGCGAAACTCCCACCTCCAACTTACGGTATCAAACAGATGACAAGCCCAACAGCCATGAGAAATCAGCGAAACCGCAATTGCTGATGAAACTCAAGTATGGCAGAGCAAATAGAAAGCGTGTTGAAGCTCTCCTCAAATTTTCAGGGAAAAGGAAAATGGCGCCTCCAGGCTCACCTGCAAAGAATATAGCTGATTCTGATTCCACCCTAATCAAGCGGACCAACGAAACTATTACAAAGGCTACGGCATCGGACAACTCCAACTCTAGAATATACCGGCCTGAGGGGAAAGCAAGGCATGTTCCGGGCATCCAAACACGTAGGAATGCGGGCCCTGAAAATCCTCGAACTCCAGTGTCTTCCACTCTTAGTGCGATAACACACAACCAGGAGAAAACAAAACAAGCCTCTGTTACGCCTGTTAAAAATCCCAAAGACTTAACTTATCGTTCGGAGAATGTCGATACCGATGGTAGAACACTCTCTCAGCCGACAATCAGATATCAACCAGGCGATGCGGCCACTGGTGTAAAGCAATCACTGTCACAAGTGAACCCTCAGTCAAACGCGTCACGCAATGGCGAGCGCCGAGCTTGGAAGGATGAATATCAAAAGTACGGGAATTTAGGGCGGGAATTAAAACATGCCGCGGAACGACATACCACCAGAGATTTCGTGACTGATGTTGACGAGAAGCTTGCGGCTGCTACTGCTATTGAAGCTATTCTCTGTTTTATTCTAGCCTTTGTTGCTGACGATCAATCCAAAACTTTGTCTCGTCAGATTAGCGACTCATCGTCTTGGCTATCTATACTTGCCTATTGGCGTGTGGTAAAAAAAAATAGCGCCCCCTTTCCACAGCTTCATAGCCTTTGTTTGATTCTTGGTGCTACATCCTATGATGCTATCCATGCGCTTGATCTGGAGCGGTTTGCGGTCACTCCTCTGCCAGGGGAAAACACCCCTGTGCCGACACCCGGTAGTGATGGAAACACTGTTGTATCCGATGAAAGCAAAAAGAATCGAAGGGAAATACTAGAGCTAAAGAATCGACTGCCTGAATGCTACAAAGAGTCCCAGAGGCTATGGCTTGAAGGCTCACAAGGACTTTCAGAAGACGTTCTTGTTCATGAATTTCCTGATACTTGGTCCAGGCGGTCTAGAAACTTCTCAGAACAAGGGAAGCAACGGCTCAAACCTGGTGACTATTCTGGTGAGTTTTTCCTGCCTTTAGGAAGAATGACCACACCAGTAGAAACTGTCCGATTTGGTTACTCAATACTAAGAGAGTGGTGCAAAAAGGAAGGTGTGGAATGGAATGGCCGGCTTTGTTTATAAGTCTCCACCTTCTCATCGCACAATTGTTTTCTGCACATTTCTAATTTTCACCTTGGTTATCTATCAGTTGTCCTGCTTTCTTCCAGCGGTTTGCGTTGGCGTCATTGGATTTGGAGAGGAAGTGGCGTACAAATATCTACTTCTACCTGTTATTATAGCATGATACCATGGGTTATATCCCTTTGTCATAGAGGTCATGTATACTTTCGTCTGATTCTTACGGATATGGTTCTGCAGTCCATAAGTAGTGTTGATTCTATCATTCATGATCACTTTATCAGTAGTACTGGTTTCTACTCTACATTGGTATACGAGACGAGCAATGCTCGTTAATGAATTGTTTATTTAAATCATCCATAACTTCCACTATTATGTAGACAAACTACATTATGCAGCAATCAAATCTAGTGTCTATATCACAAATCCTTTCTGTTCCATGTATGTATATCTGCTGTAATACCGATGAGTTGCTAATACATAAGGCCATAGCGAAGTACTATAAAACTCGTCGAGATATAGATTCACGATGCACCGATCTGCATCTCTCTCGCTTTCCCCAGAAACTCCCATGCTAATACATCCAAATTGATGCTCTTTTTCGATACTTGAAACGCTAAACATCTATTTAAACCGGAATCATGGCTTTCCCAGGCTAAAACAATCTATGGCCGTTTGAAAAGGAGGCGAAGGGGGGAGGAAATGAGACAAGGTTGCTAAGGACAGTGCCCACTAGCATTATGCTATGCTATGTAATGAGTACAACCATTCAGACAATCAAGGTGCCTCTCGATGACGTGTAAGGCTTGAGTCCAAATTTGGCCCCTCGCCAAAGAGCCAGCCAGCTTCCCGACAATACCTAGCTTCTCTACCATACGCGCCAACCTCGCTGCTCCAACAGATGATGGAGGCATCTACAATATCGGCTATTACACGCTCTATTGCTCCCAGTACACTCCAGCCAATCGTTCCCGCAATTAGACCGACAACATAAGCATATACGCTGCCTCTAATAACACCGCTACCGCTCGACACACCTAGGTCACGAGCAGTAGTCACCCAACCCCCAAATCCAAGAGCCAGAGACATCATGAGTCGGGCAGCGTGGAGGATCAATTTTGAAAGTCGGTAGGAAAGAAGAGGCGTCGTCCTTTCATGTGATCGTGAATAGAACCGAGGATGAAGTGAGGAATTAATCATGGTGGGCGAAAGAGTTGCCATCTGGGCAAGACTTCGAGCAGATACCACCAGTGGCTGCGAATGTATTGAAGCATAAGTGAGTGCAAGAGGGTCTGTGAGTGTTGTGACTGGAGTGGGCACAACGGAGTAAGCGAACAAGCTCAAAACAGAGGTGGCACGGCTCGGAAGTAAGAGAAGAGGAAGTCGAACAAGGAGTGCACTTAATCTGGACAAACAAATCGTGCCAAATAAAGCTGTGAGTGAGTGAACAATTGCTGCCCAAACGATCTGTCTTGATGTCGGGGCAGGGGATGTAAGTCGGTGAAAGTACCATTGGCTCACTGTAGCAGCCGTAACTGCACGCTGAATGCCAGCGATGACTCCCAGTGACCAGACATAAACAAGAATGAAGTAGACCCCGAGCCACCAACTACTGAAACTGACGATGAAGCGACCCGGTCCCGTTATGTTTCCTCCTAGGAATACCCGCGTGAACATAAGTATCCACAACCATGTCCATGAAACGATGAAGGCGAGAATACCAAGGCCAAGGATCAGTAGTTCCGGGTTTGTGGCGAGGATCCGACATGCAAATTCGAGAATTCTGATCGCTTTGCCTATAGCATGACGGCCCCGAATTACATTGTATATCCACACGCTAGCTATAATGAACGGGGCAATTGATCCCCATCTCATTACTTTATCCTGTATGCTTGTTCCATGCCAGGCGCCTTTGAAGCTTGAAACAAATGGATAAAGAGAGAAGGAATATAAGATCACGGGAACAGCGAAAATGATAACGTATACCAGCTGACGTATGTAGGACCGCAGTAGTGCAAGCCAAAGCAGTGAGACGAAAACCGATGCAACAGTATAGAAACCAAGCAGATAAAACGAGGAATGAATAGTCAAGTATATCATGTCGCCCCACGTCGATTTGTCCCCCGACGGTGTGGAAGTATGGAGGTAGACAAGGAAAGAAGTAGCGAAAAGACAAGCAATGGATATTAAAAAGAATTGGCCCCAAATGACATCGTGCACGGGCGATTCGGTTCTTACCGGGGCAGAAGAGGCTTGAACAGGGTTCGTGGGACTTAGTGACCGGGGACCGTTTATCAACGGCTGCCTGTCCGTTCCCATGGGCATGAAAAATGAATCTATGCCGAAATTGCCCTTCCGTGATTGAGACTCACCCCGAAATCGTTGGATTGAGGGAGGATTATCGTCGTCTGCCTCTGAAGAATCAGCTCTATCACCATCCGACGCAGATCGCAGGCTATCTTCGAGATGAACGTCAACTAGGTTCTCCCTAGCTCTGGTATTAAATTTGTCCATAGGTGGTCCATCTTCGACCTCAACAGCCTCGGGTACGGTCTCAGCAGCCGTGTCTCGCTCCCCGTGGTAGGACATCCCAGCACGCCAGGAGCTTCTGATGCCTTGCACCCTGCCGTGTATTCCATATCTAGATGTTCCATAGTCCCCAACGCTATTTGAATGGTCATCATCTTCATCGATCTCCGAAGAAGCTTTCAGATGACTACTGCCGAAATTTCGCCTTGATTTCTGGAGGGCATAGAAGTCCGCGATCTCACGCTCATGCTCTGCTTCATCATCCTCTTCACAAAAATCATCAGTGGCACTGTAGAATAGAGGCGCATGCTGGGCCAGGTTTCGAGACCCAAGAGGAAGGTTAGAAATTTGAGATGTCGCTGGTTGATATGGGTCAAGGGTTGCTCTTTGTAAGAAGGAACGTGAGGATGGAAAGCGGGAGCTTCCCGGTTGCTGCATCAGTCGTCCATGACCTTTCCTGCGTGTTTCATCAGAGTGAGGAAGTAGTCGTGATTGTGACTGGGCAAGGAAGCGAGAGGCATCTGTGCGATAGTGAGCGACGTCGGTCCAGTGAACAGCCAGGGAACTAGGTGTAGACAGTGAAAGCTCCATAAATCTGTATAACACATACATTCCGAGAACATCTCTAACTAACTCCCGGTAGAAGGCCACTTTGCGGTACAAAGCGGTTGCTGCTCCTCGACGGCCTTGAATGTTGCTCGTTCGAAAGTGCGATATGGAAGCGGTGAGCTCTAATAGATTTAGTGATAGTTTCAGAGCCAGTGGTACGCGGAGGCTGGCAAGGAGAACATCTGGAAAACTATTTATCTGATAGTAACTTGCTCAGAGAATGTACGGTGTAACAGAAGGGAGGAATGTGAGCATCTGTAAGGCGTAAAGTGAACGAGTAGTGAAGAGGGTGCAAGCGTCATAAGGCAAGGTCATGGTGATAGATGACTCAGCTTTCGGAAGTGTCTCCACTCTAACCTAACACCCTAACACCATGGTTCCGGAAAGAACCTTTTAACTAACCGTATGTCTGGCTTGTACGTACCCGAAGTGCTCTACTTCGTAGATACAGTAGTGTAGTACTCTGTATCTACTCCCGATACCCCATTTACGGATCTACTATGTACTAGTCTAAGGACTTAGTATAATATGAGGACCCACACAGGTGATCCACAGTCCTTGGCAAATCATATCTTTTCATGTCGCAAATCTCTGTTGGCGACCCATTTATTAGTTATCACATGGTGAGGTAATGTATGGATCCTAACAAGATATCGTAGCATGGCAGCTCATTGTTTTCCGATGATATTGTATGGGATCGAACAGCTTTGGAGGGGAATAATAAAAAAAAAAAAGGGGGGGGGAAAGGACATTATCAGAGTAGTTTTTTCCGAGACATAATCGAATACCGGATATTATACATGAAGAGCAAGAGTCCTACAGTGGGGAGCAACTGAAATTTGGAACACCCGTATAGGGCTTAGTGGCCGGTTTAGGGACCGCCTACTAGACTAGGCATATTATGCCCGGTAGAAACCTCATGAATTCCTATCCTAGTACTTAATATACCAGCCCTAGGCCTCAATGACAGTCTTTACACGGTGAGGGCATAGTCTGGAAAAGGCGTACATGAACCAGTCCCGCTTACTATGGTAAAAATGGTAGGCGGTAGAATGTGCGCACGGGCCGCCTCCAAGAGGGGTTTCCAAATTTCAAATACCTCCCACTGTAGCTTAAAGGTCGGTAAAGCGTGCTGATGTCCATCTAATCACGTGCACGACGGCCGCCGCCCCAGACTTACACCCGCTTCCACCTGTGTGTTAAAGATCGCCTTAGCAATTCTCATATGACCCATTAGCGCGGACTAGGACGGTTTTATTATAGTCTCTAGTGCCATTTAAGCGGCTTACTTTCTCTAAGCTCTGTCTCTGGTGTTTTGCGGTGACGGTTCTCGGAGCATGAGCCTCTCAAATACCTGAGCTGGCGGATACTAGTTAATCAGAAATCAACTATTTTCAAACCTAGAGTCCGCTGTATCCATGTCACAGCCATGGGATTATATTGCTAAGCTTGTCTGTATTGGTGACTCTGGAACTGGAAAGTCCAGCGTGAGTGTCTGATCGCTCTTTGAATGCCGTAGCTCAATCATGCTAACCATACCTATAGTTGACTATTCGGCTTTGCGAAGGACGCTTTTCATCTTCCCACGATGTGACTATCGGTGTGGAGTTTGGGTCGCGCATTGTTCCAGTTGGGCCACCTAGTTCAAAAGCCCTAAATATAGAATCAAGCACCAACCGTCGCAACCGTTCCTTTTCGTCGCCGGTAGCTTCAGATACCTCAGAGGAGCCTATCGTCTCTGGTTTACCTAATCCTCCACGAAAAATAGCCGAGTCTCAGAAAAAGATGAAGTTATCACTGTGGGATACAGCAGGGCAGGAAACGTACAAATCCATCACACGGTCATATTTTCGCGGTGCCTCTGGTGCTCTGCTTGTGTTCGATATAACGAGACCATCCACGTTTACTTCATGCACACAGTGGTTGCAGGATTTGCGGCAAATTGCGGAAGAAGGAATTGTAGTTATTCTCGTCGGCAACAAAAGTGATCTGACCGGTAATGATCCGGAACGGAGTGAGAAGCATGTTACAAGGCGAAAGGCGGAAGAGTGGTGCCGCATGAACAACGTCGTACGCTACGTCGAGACCAGTGCAAAGTCCGGTGACGGCGTCGAGCTTGCGTTTCTTGAGGTCGCCGAGAGAATTTATCGAAATATCGAGGCGGGCAGGTACGATTTAAATGACCGCCGAAGCGGAGTGAAGGGCTTCGGCGCTACCGGTGGGGGGAGCACTAATGTGCCAACAACTGTTACCCTAGGCTTGAACGATGCAATGCGCAGGGGCGGAAATGGATGGGCTGGAAACTGTTGTTGAGTAGATTACGTCCACAACTGCAATAATCCTGATTGTGCAATGCTACCTGAGAGCAGCGACAAGTTCACTAGATTACTCTTTCTAAGCCACAACCATCAATACTCGAACTAGACTTTAGGAAGGTTGGAAATATCCTGGGAACTACCAATAAAGAGAAAAAGTCCTTCTAGATTTGATGGAGTGAATTAGACTTCATTGACATCGCCGGTATAGCCGATGAGATACTACACAGAGCATAGTGAAGGTGATTTAATAGCAACACAATGGAAGCATGGCGGGCTGGAAACAACGGGAAGACGATAATAAAGAAGGAAGGTAAGACAAAGAATAGGGAGACAAGGAGGAAAGAAAAGTAGCAAGGGAATGACATAAGAGTCAAGGTGTCTCAATTGGCGATGCGCCAGCCGCTCAGCCAATCCAAATGATCCCACTGCTGACTCGAACCTTCAATGCCAAACACAATCACGCGGAAATGCACGAACATTCCAACTATGATAGCATAGAGTAAAGAATAGACCATCCAGCGGGATTTAACATTCATCGTTTGCGTGAGCCAGTCAACGCAAAATCCAAAGGTAAGAATGGCGTAATATAATGCTGGGTAGTAATGATGAACATACGTCACTCTTCCCATGACAATGAAGGGCAGATAATGCAGAATCCATCCAATGACTGGGTACAAGCCAGAATAATGGATATGGTTGATGTCTGCCTGGGAAAGCTCATTGTAACCTCGCTGCCAACGCACGAGATACCATATTACCAAGAGCCCAAAGATGCCAAGGCTAAATGTACTTCCCCAGTAAACGAATGGGTTGCCAAGGAGATAGTATTTGATAGTATTGTCGTCCCAAGAGCACATCCGAAGCCCAACATTAAGTATAGGCCACTGCCAAAATTTCGAGGCGAGATCATCCTGTTTATCGGGGTCGGGAACCAGCGCATTGTTAGATGTCATCATAGCGACATTCAGATGGATAAAGTCTTTCAAGAAAGGCGACTTGTAGGATCCTGGATCTCCCGGTGGGACTGCATAATCAATAGTCAATAACCTTTCCTTTTGTAAATGCATAGGGCTTAAAATTGAAGCTTACGCCGGTCGTTAAAATGAGACTCAACATTCCAGTGTGTGTAAACATCGCTCGGTTTGTTCTCCTTCACGCATGTAGTTTCAATCTGCTTGAAGCCCCACTGAGGGAGATTGACATTGCCTGCTCGTAAATAACAACCCAGAACGGGATGTCGCAGGCGGAAGGAAGAGGTAAGAGTACGAATTTTACTTCTATCCTTCGATGCAACATCATCAACAACCTCAACCAGCCAATGATCTTTATCATCACCGATAGTGACATTGCCGTAGCATGAGACTTCGTAGTGTGACTTGGTAACTGGTGCAGAAATAGCATGAGAGTGCAAATTCCGGCCTGTCTGTCCATGAATAAGACGAATGACATCACCATCACCTACAAACTTTAGAGGTGCACTCGGATCATACTCTGGCTCGCGGCGGTTGGGGTAGATGAACCAGTCGTTGTTGGCGTCCTTGTGATGATAACAGGTAACCTGTTGCTGGGTGGATCCCTCGGGGTATGTCTGGATATGCGAATGGAGAAGTCCGCCGCCATAACCCATGTTCTTCAATGTGACTCTAGAGCCGAGAGCAATTTCCAGGGGGCTATCTTTCCCGACCTCGGTTCCTCTCAGATTGGCCTGGAAAAGTGAACTCATTTGGGCGTCGCCCGGTCCACTATTTTCCAGAACCAAGAAATGCAGGTAGAATGAAAATACATAAACCAAAACGGGTATTATGATCAGCCCCACCACACGAGCCATGAGATGCTTGGCAAGGACGACCTGCTAGTGGGCTTAGCAACAGATTCGAGACATGGGTCCCTTCCATAACTGACCTCTGTCATCTTTAGATCGCCAAATTTGTTCCAGAGATCCTCGATCGTATAGAGGCCTACAAGCGCTGTGCAAAAGAAACCAACCCATTTCACACTGCACACACAACCAATACTTATCCCTGTCAGGAACAGCCAGACAAACCACTTAATCGAGAAACTCGCATGCTGTAGTCGATGAAACTTTGCCCAACACAGGGTAGTGGTGAACGTGAAACAGAGGAGCATGGAATCCAGCAATATAAACCTTGAGATGGTTGCGTATGAGTTTTCAAGTAGCACCATCAAACTCACGAGCCAGATAGTAGCCCTGCGGAAGCCAAGCTCTCGTGCTGTATAATAAGCAAGTGGCACGCACACGACGCCGAACGCAGCGTTGAAGACGCGCATGAAAGTATAATTGACTTCTTCCGGATATTTCTCTCCGGATTTAAATTCGAACGACCCGTTGTAACCGGCAAGATATCCTGACAAACCGACAAGCATTTTCCCCAGAGGCGGGTGTACGTCGAAGTAGAACTCGCGTTTCAAGTAATGTGATCCAAACTTGCCAAAGCTAAACCTAGGGTAAGAGACTGGGCCAACAGGGCATGATTCATTAGGGGTTATGTTTCTCTTACTGCGCTTCATCCCAAGTCACGATATTAGAGCGACCAATTCGGTACATGCGAGTAAAGATAGCTACAGCCGTCAACAGAATGGGCATTATCAGAGGTTCCCAATCATCCAGAACGGAAACTGATGGATTGGACTACATACCAGCCCGACTAGCGTTAGTCCTTGGACACTGTATCTTTAGGGCGCTAGGATTGAAAGGAAACATACTTTGAGCTTGGACTTGGCATTACTTTCCTCCGTGCCATCGGGCTTCCTTCTAGGACCCTCAGTATGCGGGACATTTCGGCGCCGCATATCAGAAGCTAGATTGACCCCGGTACTTGATGCAGAGTCCATTTCCGCCATAGTGGAGGATTCTTTCCTGGAAGTTTCCGGGTTGGTTATAAAGGGAGTAGGTGGCATATATCTGGACGGAAGACTCGAGGTATTGCCAAAGATGTAGTGATAAAAGTAAGGAGAAAGAAGAAAAAGAAGAAAAAGGTGGTTGAACGAAGGAAATATTCAACGAATGCAATTGAGTTCAAAAAAAAGACAATTTCATATCCGATAGCATAATATGGAGTTTCGTGGACGCGAGGTAATGGGGAGGCCGGGTCTACAGTTCTAGTGGAAAAGTGAATCAATTGCGGTGGATTGAAGAAAGGGGAGGGATAGAAAAGACCGATTGTGGAGAAAAAGAGAAGGAGCCACAGGAACAATCAAAGGATGGAGGAGGACAGGGAAGGCATTGGAAATGAAAGACGACAACACTTTCAAATGCAGAGCAGTGGTGTAGGTAGTGGAAGCAAATGGAGAGTTGGCCTGGACATAACACGGAAAAACCGGCGCGGTCATCCCAAGCTGCGGCCCCGCTCAGGCCACATTGAATTCTGGCCAAGGGTGTAGGGTATGTACTAATAATACCTATCAGGAGTCTCTCCACTGTAGATGAAGGTTACCCTGCATACAAAACCAGGTGATATGTAACATTATATAGTAGTATGTTTCTCTTGAGTAGAAATCACCTGCCTCTTAGGGCCATCTCACGCTTACAGAGTCTATCTTGCAAGGCTCATATCAAGCGAATACATATAGTGATTGTTGTGCTGTCTGGACGGTATAAAAGACAAAGGGGATAGGCGATATTCCATACCACGTGGAGTACTAGTTTTGTCTTCAAGTTGTTCTAAGTGCGTTATACCCAGGCAATAAGCTAGCAGCGGTGTGAATTGAGCAAGTACGAGTAACCCAAGACACAAAAGACCGACAGTGGTCTAGAACATTACTAGCTCGGTGTAGTATAAATTTCGTATAATAAATCCTAGTAGAAGTTCCTCCCCTTGGCCTAACGATTTTCACTCCAAAACACCTAAACAAACTTCCCTGATAGTGACATAACTCTAGTTTCAATAAAAGTTATTTATCGTTGAATAATCACTTGAACATACTCTGAAGATACTACTAGATCGGTGCTATCAAAATCCATCTCCTATTGGCTTGCATGGCTTTGCTCGACGCCGCTAGATCATGGTTTAGTCTGGAAACCTCTGGCCTTCAATTGCCGCCAGCTCATCATGGGAATCGGTATGTTTGAGTTTACATGAAGATATTTATCATAGCGAGAACGATGTACTTACCTCGGCATTTATATTTTACGGCCACCAAGCTCCCTCTGCTTATCTCTGTTCTACATTATGCATGGTGTGGTATTACACAGCGTGACAGAGATAAACTACTCCCCATGCCTAGCGATGGGAAGAAATTCATACCATCAAATAACACTGCTGTACCTGGGGATTGAGCCATGAGGCGTAGAGTCACCAACTGGGTCAGGCTTACTTAATGCCGTTCGATCACTTATGAAAAGCCCTTCCTGCAGCGTGTTTTGAGAACCTCCACCGTAATCGATACTATGTAGTTATTTTCTAGTCTTACGTGACTGGCGACGCCTATTTCACACACCTTAAAATCAGCGAATGCCTGGATTTAATTGTGCATACATATAACCCCCAAGCAGCAACCTACTCGTACTGGAGCCACCTCACCCATAGTTCCAGCGTTCACTCCCAAAGAGACCGATGGAGTGAATTGAAGGGCACAATTCTCTGTAATACCCATTATCCTGAGCGCTATCTTCAAGGGTATGAACATCTAGGGCATAATATTTCGATCTCTTTTATCCCAGTGCAAAGTGATCGGCCCATATTGATTGAGATATCTAGTCCGAGCTGATGTCCCAGTATAGATACTTGATAACTCCATCCTCTCTCACAAAAGGCCGTGTCAAGACAAATGCACCGTTAATTTACGCGCTGGCGTGGTAGGAGAATAGTAGACGTACGCGTATTGAGGGACACAGTGATATGCGGTCAAATGTGACGGCGAAATATGGACACAAAGCAAAGGGCATGTGACATGTAAAAAAACCCCACCTCATACTCCTTAGAAGAAGAAACAAGAAAAGGAGTTAAAAAGAAAAAAGAAGGCAGTGCGATATCAATGGATGATATATAAAAGCCCCGTTGTGATTCGATGATACCCCTACCGTCCCATTACTCGTCCCCGTCATCTTGCTCAAGGCGTCTATACTGAGTGCCTTGAAGCCGTTGTTCAGATGACCCCTTATGACGAGAGACCATGTTCGAAATCCAACCGCCAAGGCCTTCAAGGCGGCTACCACCGCCATTTTGAGAACCACGTTGACCAACTTTAGCGTTCTCGCCAGCATTGATGGTTGGAGGATCGATGTCTAGACCAGGAATGGCATTTTCAGGTCCAAACTGGCCATATTGCCGGCGTATGTCAAGTGAAGGCACAGGCGAACCAACACTCATTAGAGAGCCATGTTCTCCTTGGGAGGCGGGTGTTGGCATGGCAGTTGTTGCGTCCCCAAACAGAGTATCCATGTCCTCGAGACGAACTCCACTAGTTTCCGGGTATAGGAAGTAAACTAAGCAAAACACACGTCAGGATATAGTAACCCGTTGG